AAGAAGACAAAGTGGCTCAAACCTCATGAAGTCGACTTGTTCAAGGATGTCGCGGAAATTGATGAGTATACAAGAAACTTTGTTCCCACTCCGCCGAGGTAAAGTTTTTTGTTTCTTTTTGATGCTGTTTCATATTCCCCTTCTAGATGAAGATGAGCTAGGGTTAGGGCTGAGAGTGGGAATTTGGCTTGAAAAATCTTGGAAGCTAACAAATGGCCCCCCTGAACACAGAAACTGGGTCGACAAATATTTCAACAAGCTCTTCGACTAGTGTGGACGCCTTTGTATACGCATATCAGCTTGGCGCGCCGCCACGGTTTCTTCTTTCCTTGCTCTTTCCATCGTTGACGCAAACGCAGAGTTTTGGCGACTCCTCAGCAGCAGCAGTGGCACGCCTTCGTACGAATCAATGTTCATGTAAAGAAATGTATGTGTAAACGTAGTCGATGTCACCCTTTATTTCCTAGATAACGATCATGAACGCTCTCTATTACCTCTTTGGGTGGATGAATCTGCGCCGTTGAAGTCTATTTATGTCGAATGTTGGTGCTTCCTAGTTGTTTTACTTCCTTTTTTGAAAGTAGTCGCTTGCCTTGGGTGGTAGATCTCCAGCGCTCTGTCACGTAGTTAGATACTTACTGGGTTGGTGCGGTTTTGTTCGTGTATAAGATGAGTAGACAGTATCTTCTGTCTTTGCCTCGAATTCCGGATTGCTTGCGGGATTCTACAGATATAAATATGAATATATATATCACACATTTATCAATCGGTACGCTGGTGTACCTAGCTGCGGCATGAAGTGCCATGCTCATCGAAACCACCAGTTGACCTATTGTAGTTTTGATAAAATTAGCAGACCAGGAATTTTATACAGCGAAGCTATCTCATGCTAGGCCGTACGTAGCTTATGACGGCCGATCTCAGAGGGCCAATAATATAGAACAACTTACCGAAGCCGTGATGCCCTCACCAACCCCCTTAATACTATGCCACCAGCCCATTGGTATAAAAATACCGTCTCCAGCATTCAGTTGCGCCTCGAATCCTTCCTTCATTTCCGGACTGACGTTTTTACTTTCTCCATCCACCCCGATTTCCATAGTATCCCCCCACACGTCCTTTTCAAGCAACTCCTTCTCCAACCCTTGCATCATCTCCTCCCCACGGAATTTGGCGTCACCCACGGTTATACTGTTTACTTTTAAATTTGCATCCTCCTTCTGCCGCTGTAAAATCGTTCGCCTAACCCGCTCAAAGACCCTTAGTCCCGTATCTGGAGCATACAATCTAATAACCTTACGCCCAGCCATCTGGACGAACAGATTCGGATTAGGGTCCCGGTGGAGGGGAGTGTACGTGGGTGGGACGCCCATCCATATATTCGTATCGTATACATCTCCCTTGCCCGACTTTGAGACGAGAGCCGGGGTGGGAAAGTCTAAGCGGAGTGTTGGGGGAAGGTCGAGGAGTTGGCATTGGGCAAGGTATAGATTCGTATTGGGAGGAATACCCTCAGCACTGAGCGGAGCAGTTGTTTTGGTCCAGTTGAGGAATAGGCCTAGGGGTGCGTATAGGCGCTGGAAGGCGGGAGTTGCTGTGGAGTCAGGGTTCTGAGAGGAAGTGAATTCGACAGGGACGGAGCAGTCACTGTGTTTCTCTAAATAGGTGTAATTGAGGCTACTAGTTGAGGGCAAAGCACTAGAACCGTAAGCGGAGGAGGAGGAAGGGAAAGAAGGGATTGAGAACCATTTCTGGATAGCTGGGAGCTGGGCAAAATGGCCTCGAGGGAGGATGACAGGGAGCTGTGGCTGAAAATATGAGGTTCGGAATGCAGCGATGTCATGGCTGGGGAGGGTGTCGAGCAGTTTGAAGAGTAATGGAGGTTTTATCTTGCCTCTGACAGCTGAGGATGATGAAAAGGCCTTTCTCATCTTGATCTATTTATCCAGTTGGATATAGTTTAGAGAGGTAAGTCACATACTCCCGTGACTAATATCAAACCACCCGAGAAGTTCGGAAGCCCATATATTTAGTTAGCGCTCATCCTGACCCGACGGCAACGCGCTGCCTTGACCTATTTAACTACCCCACAAAACTCGCTCCCAAGGCGCTGCGACGGGCCAACATCTCCCCCCAGTCCCAACGTCGATCGACTCTGGCTGGATCCATTATCTGCGACCTTTTGTTTTTTCTTCTTCAGGCGTTTGTTATAGATGTCATTCGGACAGGCGGCCGCTCTTCTAGCGCAATGACATCTACCTTCCCCGCTGGCGATGCCGCTCTCCATGCAGTCAGCGGCAGCAGCAGCAACAATGGCGGTGGCGACGCTGCTAAACGAAAAGCGGAACCCAACAGCGGAACTCATACGCGGACAAAGCGGAATCGGTACATCTCGCTGGCCTGGTTAGTTTCCTCGCTCATACGACTGTCATACGACTGTCATACCGTGCCATAAGACGATGGCTGTTGTGGGTCTCCTGTAACTCTGACGTATGTTAAATAATACAGCAATGAATGCAAGCGTCGCAAAATCAAGTGCAATGGCCAGGTACCATGCCAGCGCTGCGGGCATCTTTCTCTGGAATGTAAGTTCGTCTTGCACTGATTCTGGTGGGCACTTAGCCGCATCAAGTTGTGAGCTGAGGCTCACTCATTTCGCAATTGCAAAATAGGCCTATATGCCCCTAACTGCTGCACCCGTAGCATTAAAGATTCAGAGTAAGTAACATGGTCTACCGGTTATTTCTGCTTTATTTACCTAGGTAGCTGAAATTTGTCTTTATTTGGTATATTTGCTACTGCTCTTAACCAAAAACAAAATAAAAATAAGAGATAAAACTAAAACTAAGACTATGAATTGTTCTACTAACTAATACGGTTTGTCTTCAGGGAATTTCGTTCGATGAAAGAGCATATCGAGACATTACAAGATCAAGTGAACACCCTGTTTGCTAATATAAACGAGCTATATCAAAAGACCGACTCATCGGCTGTTGAATCCAATGCATACGGTCGAGAACCTTCACGCTCCCTCTCCCAGCCAAGCTATGATTCTCAAAATCAAACTCCGCCGCGGCCTCGCTCCAATCATCCTCGTTTCCATGGGCCCACCAGCACGACGTTCAATCTCCATGTCGCCAAGTCAAGCTTGCAAACGATGGGAATTACTCCCGCTGAGGATGGAAATCACGACTTATTTGCAGGTCAGGATGCGACGCCAGTGGACTCACCACCTCCGCAACAGCAACAACTACCTCCTATCCCACAGCTTTCGGCCCATCCGAACAAAGATCCATTGTGGGTCATAAAACGTGAGGAAGCCATTAGGTTATGCCGGGTTTATGAACGGGAAATCGGAATCATGTACCCTCTCCTTGATATTGAGAGGCTGATTACGCACACTAACCTGCTCTTCACGTTCCTTGAGGCCGCTTCTCGGACTGGATTCACGAGACGTTTTAAACCAGGACCTGATATGCTGACTGACGATGACACTTGTATCCTTAAGATGGTCCTTGCAATTACGTTGATCGTTGAAGGCAACGGCCAGAGTGCCCTAGGGATTCGACTTTTCACTACTACAAAACAGAGGATTGAGATGAAACTTTGGGAGCCAACGGATCTCAGAACAATTCAATTGTTTGCACTCATGGTATGCTGATCATGGGCGAGATGACTTGGGATGCTATTTATAGAATTACTCTGTTTAGCTAAGCATGCTGCAGGCCACATACCATTTTCATACTGACGAAGATAATATGGCTTATCGGTTTATCGGCCATACCACCCGCATGTGTCTTGAGCTTGGGCTGCATAGAAGAGATGGCATGTTTAAAGTTTGCCCAAACGAAGCGGACATACCTTCTGTTGCCAAGCTGTTTTGGTCAGTCTACTGCTTGGATCGACGATGGAGTTTTGGCATGGGTTTACCATTTATCATTCAGGATGAAGACATCGATTCGTCTCTACCGGAACCTGTGAGAATCCTATATTCCCCTAAATTCTACGCAACTGTTATGCTTCGTTGACTGACACAGCCATGAAAACAACTAAACAGGATGATTCTGTGCCATATCTGAAAGCAATGATATCATATTGCCGTATTGGCTCTAAGATTTGGTACTCCGGTTTGGGCTCTGTTGGTACTGTGACAGCCAAAAGAGAAGTAATTGGCTTTCTTGATTATCAGGTCCTTCAATGGCTGAAGAATGTCCCCGAGAACCTGAGATTTTATTCGCCCGAACACTCTCTAAATGGGGACGGAATCGATCGGGAGACCCGACGTTTGCGTGTGTTGCTGTACATTCGCGGTAATCATATGAGGATACTTATTTACCGCCCGGTGCTACATTCCACTAGCGGCATCCTCGAGAACATGGGATATGCCGAAACCGTCGTCGACATTGCCAAAGACACCATCCGCGTCCTCGCTCACCTCAACCAGACATCTGACATCTATCGCTCTCACCAGATGCTCTTCAACTACTTCCTCGTCTCTGCATTGGCAGTTCTCCTTCTAGCCGTATCTCACGCCCCCGCTGAATTCAACCGCCAGGTACGCGACGAGTTCTACATGGCCCTGGACCTGGTAAAAGGGTTCAGTGCGAAGTCATACGTCTCGAAGCGCTTGTGGAAAATGATCAAGGGGCTACGTGGAATTGGAGAGAAACTTGGCCTGCTCAATCGTCCCGCCCCACCAGATCCGAATGACCCCCATTCAACTGCAGCTGTTGCCATGGCCGGATTAGCCGGCCACCCCATGGACGTGATGGCTGTGTATCGCGACATCAGCGCGAGTGGTGAGCTAGGAAACAGCCCACAGGATGGCGTTCAGATGAGCAATGAGCTGACGCACCTGTTTGAGGCTGTGGGTGGCTACGGTGGTTTTTTGGCCCAGACTAACAGTGCCGGGGATGGAGATGGCATTAATGGCGAGATGGTGAATGCCCAGGGCGATCTGACCAGTGCAGAGGGATTGGGTTCGATTCTCGGAAATGAAGCGGAGTTTGCCCGAATTATGCGAGATGTATTCTAGATGGCGGATAATTTGCGTCCCTTTGGTTTTCGACGGTAGTATCTTTATGAATGTCTTACGAATTTTAATTACATATATACATACATATATAGTTATTGGTTTGTATACTTTATATGATAAGGCAGTGGCACCTTCAAAAAAACGTCAGGAAGCAGAAAACTTGACCTCGCTAAGTGCGCCACTTGACCTCGTTATGTAAGCTGACCTCGCAAATGTGGCCTGTGCCACTACCTGATCTTGCACAATACATCTTTTCTTGTAATTTGAAACCACTCTTTCTTTCTTAATTATTTATCATCAATTCTATAATCAATTTTTAATTAATTGTAGAACAATTCTTGTCTCTTATCATAATCTTCATACATGAAGAAGACTTTACTAATTTTATTAATAATTACAATTCTTCTTCTAATACTGAGATTATTCTTATGTATACAGAAAACTTGATCTTACTAAGTACATCACTTAATCTTATTACATAATTATAACTCTGATCTCACACAATACAGTAATAATCAGTTGATAATTAACTTTCAATCTTTTAATTACTTACTTATTTATTCACTTAATCTATTAATTAATTAAATTTTTCATTCTTTAATTAAAAAAGCTATGAAATAGTAGATAACAGCTCTAGCTCAGATAGTAAGTAAAATATTATAAAAAAGACAGAAAATCTGATAATTTTTAATGAAAAAAATAAAGAAGCTGATTTATATTATTTTATAGTTAAGTTATCAGCTATATCTTCAAGTAGTAATAGTAGAAGATCTTACTCTCTCAGAATATAAAATAGTAATTAATTAAATATTACTTAAGAATTGATTTTCAAAGTATATATAGCTAATTTATAATTAATTAGATAAATAAGTAAATTTATATAGAATATGAAAAGATATTTTACAGAATTTCAGAATATATTAAGATAAAGATATTTAATAATTAATTTTAAATTGATTTCAGATTAATTTTAAATTGATTATTAATTAATTATAGTATTAATTCTTATTAATAAATAATCTTTATTATTATATTAATATACATGAGAGAATCTGAGTACTGAAGTAGTAAAGAGACTGTGTTAAGTAGAAAGTGATTAATAAAACTGTTAATAAGTATTTATAAATTAATTATTAACTGATTTTTATATAATTATTCTTAACTGATTAATAAATACTTTAAAGTTTCATAATAATATCACAGTGAACCTGTTCACTCTGAGAGAAAAGAATAAGATAATATTATTAAAGTTGTCTTAATACAAAGATAATAGTGAGATAGAAAATTATACTTTAAAAGTTAATTAATTGATTCTGAATTAATTACTAACTGATTATCAGTGTAGCGGGCTGCGCCTGATTAATTATACAGACTATTTTATTACATCTTATAGATTTCTACTGTTTTAATTCTCAGTTACTGATTCTCAGTTGAAAATCTACAGAATTTCTATTCTTTCACTCTGAACCTTTACTATGTACATGTATAAATATTCACTCTAATCACTGATTCTCATACTTTCTCTTTCTTTTCTTCTCTAACATTTTTCACTTTGTTATATAAGATCTATAAATACAATACTAATCTATTCAGTATAGATCTCTTATATTTGAAAAACATTTATTATCTTCTTATTAGAAATAATTATTTATGTTTCATTGTCTTCTTATTAGAAATGATTACTCACTGAGATATCTGAATATGTAACAATGTATAAGAAATAGAGAAACAGTTTTAATCAGTTAAGTAAACACTGAGTCTTCAGATAGAAGCTTGCTTATCAGTTACTCTGACTCTGTAACAAGATCTTACAAAGAGAATAAGATCTTATAAAGAGAATATCAGTGAAAGATCTGAAAGTTCTGACACTACAGATGTATAAGATATTCATATAATTACACTTCTTCAGACTTCACAGATATTACATATTCAATGAACAACATGTCTAATAATAATATAAGAGAACTCTTAAACATGAGTATAGACACAGTGTCACAGTAACTCTGAGCAATGTTGAAATTATAATAATAATAAATAGCTGATGTACATGCAACTTAACAGCATCAATATAAAGAGATTTAACAATTATTTCAATAAGAAACCTCTGTACAGACAATTTCAACATCTACAGAATTAAATACAAAAGTACTGAAAGAATACTTAGATACTCTCATATATTTTAATACTTTCAACCTCACTCTCTACTCATTATAAAGGATGGAAATGCTCATGAAACTGAGTATAGATGAAGATGTTATTGATTTACTAATCAATCAAGATTGATATATCAATGAATAATTAAAGAATTGTATAAAATAGAAGTTTTATTCATGAATGAAAGCATGTGAATCAGTGTTGTGAACATCTGACAATATTATCAAACATCTTGATATTCTGTTCTGAGATACTGTCATGCAACAGAAAGCATTCAGAAAGTCAAAGTTAACCGCTTCACCACGAACTCACTCGATTTTTCGAATAAGAACCCGCCGATAGATCCATTGAAAAGCCCTCGATTATACAAGCATTTTGACCCCATCGCCGACTGCATACCCCGTGTGGTGGTGGAGTTATCCAGCCAAACATGAACCAGATGTTGTTTGAAACTCCTGTGTGGGATTATCCCCCATTCTCCCCTACCACACCACAACCCCGGGCCAAATTGCCATATAAATTGTAAGGTGAAGAGACCTAGCCATATGCATCAATCTTCTTGATTTTGGAAGATTCCTGATCTGTAATTGTGGAGATATCTGAGAAGTGATCTCCATGAAAACCCTGTTTGTGGCGGGCTGCGCCCGATCAATCATATAGACTATTCCGTTACACTCCACAGATTCCAGCCGCTCCATTCTCGAACGCGTACGCTCCGATTCTCGGCCATTCTCGATCGCCGATCCTCGGCCGCCACGAACGCGTACGCTCCGATTCTCGGCCATTCTCGATCGCCGATCCTCGGCCACCATGAACATGTATAGATTCTTCCGCCCCGAAGCTCCACTGTGTATGCCATCACATACATGTATAAATATTCACTTCAATCACTGATTCTCACATTTTCTCTTTCTTTTTCTTCTCTAACATTTTTCTCTTTGTTATATAAGATCTATTAATATTATACTCATCTATTCAGTGTAGATCTCTTATACTAGAAAAATGTTCATTGTCTTCTTATTAGAAATGATTATTCACACATTATCTTCTCATTAGAAATAATTATTCATTGAGAGATATCTGAACATGTAACAATGTGTAAAGAAAGAGAAACAATCAGTTAAAGTGAATACTGAGTTCTTAGATAGAAGCTTGCTTATCAGTCACTCTGACTCTGTAATAAGATTTTATAAGAGAATATCAGTGAAAGACCTGAGAGTTCTGATACTTAGATATATAAGAATACAATTGCACTTCTTCAGATTTCACAGATATCACACATTCAACAAACAATATAATCATGTCTAATGATAATATGAGAGAACTCTCAAGTGTGAGTATAGAAGTGATATCACAGTGACTCTGAGCAATGTTGAAATTATAACAGTAATAGATAGCAGACATGCATATAACTCAATAACTTTAATATAAAGAGATTTAATGATTAACTTATGTAATTTCAACATCTATAGAATTAAATACAAAAGTGTTAAAAAGAATACTTAGATACTTCTGTATATTTTAATACTTTCAATCTCACTCTCTACTTATTATGAAGAATGGAAATGCTTATAAAACTGAGTGTAGATGAAAATGTCATCAGTTTATTAATTAATCAAGATTGATATATCAATGAATGATTGAAGAATTACATGAAACAGAAATTCTACTCATGAATGAAAGCATGTGAATCAGTGTTGCAAATGTCTGACAATATTATCAAACATCTTAACATTCTGTTTCAAGACACTGTTATATAGTAGAAAGTATTAGATTAATTACAGAGAATCTGACAGAGAAACATTTCTCTTACAACATTTATCCCTGACTTCAATATCAAGATCTTAGAAGCAGGTGATCAATCTTGAGAGAATTAAATGAAGATTAACATGCTTAAGAAGACATTAACTTTTGAACTCTTACAGATTCTTATAAGTATAAATGAAGACTTCACTTATGAACATTTCTGCACACAGCTTCAGACATTGAATGACTATCTTATCAAGCTCAAGAGTATACAGAACAGTGGTAGAAGATATTACATCTCAGTTACTTATACATCTGTGCTGAAGAATAACAATGATGCAGATGCTATGAATTGAGTAGACTCAAATGTCTATATATAAGCAAGAGTCTCTGCTGTCTGAACAGGCTTCTGAGTTTCTGAGATCACTTCTGAAGAAGTCACTGATCAATATTAACAAGAAGTGTATATCAACTGTAACTGATCAGAGTACATTGCTTTTAACTGCTGATTAGTCTATATATCTTCTTGTTTAAAGAATGAATCAGTGTCTGTCTGTGTCAACTATATTATATTAGAGAAGAATTCAGAAGATAACTACAAGAATGCTCTGATGAAACAGAGAAAAGATTAGCTTCTGTTCAAATTTGTAAACAGAAGCTTGAAGAGATCAGATGATAATAATTTGAAGAGAAAATGATAATAAATACAATTCTTATATCTACTGTAATTAATAACATATATAATATGAAAGCTATAATAGACAGTGATCTATGTTACTATGTAATGATAAAATCTTCAGTTATAAGATATTATAATCTTCAGTGTATTCTCTTATTAAAACTCTGATTTCTTGCAGAATTTGATGATTCAAAAGATGTTTATACCTGTTATATAATGAAACTAAACATAGATATAAGAGAACATTAACATGAAGATGTTTATATATATAAGATTAATAATCTCAATTATAATCTTATATTAGAACTTGCCTAGCTATCTGAACAAGATATCTTGTTAAATGCTTAAAACAGAAGCTTGATATTCTCTAACAATGATACAATTCACAAAGATGATATTCACAAGACTATGAATCTTACACAGATCTCTGTCAACACTTATAAAATACTCTGAAAAAGAGGTTATTATTAAAATCACTGACAGAGTTGCTGATAAGATTATTAACAGCAGAATCATGTATCAATCTATTCTGTCAGTCTGACTGATATTAAAAAGACTCTAGAAAAGTTATTCTGTATTATAATAATAGATTCTTGTATGAAACTCTCTCAATAATATCATAAATATCTAGATGTCTTCTGATAAGATAATAATGCTACAGATCTACCTCTCTTATGAGGTTCAGAAGTGAATCACAGTATCAAGTTGAAAAAGAAGAACAGTAAGAACTCTGAATCATCATGAGACTCTCTTTATAACATGTTCTGAGATGAACTTCTTCTTCTTTGAAAGACACTTAATAATCTGTTGAATAAAGAGTTTATATGTATTAGTAACTCTTTCACTGCAGCCTCTATTCTCTTTGCAAAGAAATCAGATGAAGAACTCTGATTCTGTGTGAATTATCAAGAATTGAACAGATTAATAAAGAAGAACTGTTATTCTTTATCTCTTATCAATGAAACTCTAGCTCGCATTGAACAAGCTTAATAGTTTATAAAGTTAGATATCATTACTGTGTTTTATAAGATTCATATCACTGAAGAAGATGAATAACTTACAGTGTTTCAAACATAATATAATCTCTTTGAATGAGTAGTTACACTCTTTGAACTGATTAATGCTCTTAGTACATTTCAGAAGTATATTAACTGAGCACTCTGAGACTTTCTTGATGAATTTGTATCTGTTTATCTAGATAACATCCTCATCTTCACTGATGAATTCAGAAAGAAATATCAAGAGTATGTACAAAGAGTATTACAATAACTATAAGAAGCAGAACTATCAATTGATATTGATAAGAATGATTTTGAAGATAAGAGTATTAAATATCTAGATTTTATTATAGAAGCTGGCAAGAAAATTCAAATGAATTCTGAGAAAGTCTCTATCATTCTTGAATGAGAAGCTCTGTATACTGTGAAAGATGTATAAAGCTTCATTGAATTTACTAACTTCTATCAGTGATTTATATGAAACTTCTCAGATATTATAAGATTACTTACAGAACTTATTAAGAAGAACTCAGTATTTCAGTAATCAGTGAATACTGAAGCTGTATTTACACAGATGAAGAAGATATTCATTAATATCTCTCTACTAATAATATTTAATTCTAATCATGAAATAGTTGTTGAAGCTGATTTCTCTGACTATATAATAGAAGAAGTGATATTGTAATATGATAATAAAGATATTCTACAATCATATATCTTCATGTCTAAGAAACTGAGTTCTGTTGAATACAATTATGAGATCTATGATAAGAAACTTCTCATCATTGTATACTATCTAGAAGAATGAGACTCTGAACTCTGAAGCATCTTCAAATTTAAGATAATCACAGATTATAAGAATCTCAAGTACTTTATAATTATCTGTAAACTCACTGAATAATAGATACAATGATCTGAATTTCTAAGCTGCTTTCATTTTACAATGCACTACTGCTCTGATAATCAGAACTCAATAGTAGATACTCTCTCACAATGAGAATAAGATATATCATCTGATGTGACAGACACATACTGAATGAACTGAGAATATCAGCTCTTAGATTCAAAGATATTAATTGATCAAGATAGAACAACTCATGACACTATACACACTTCTCTGATTAGAATACTCTCTCTTCAAACTATTACTAATACTGATATCTTGACTTCTTCTGAATCTATACTGAATGAATTATGACATGCAACAGCTCAAACTGATGAACTTTTTCAAGTGCTTATTAAAGCAGTATATCAAGAAGCACTCTGATTCTTCTCAGAACTACATATAAGAACTGACATCTCAGAATACTTAATCAATGATAATAACACTCTGCAGTTCTGTAAATAATGTTGAGTTCTCTACTCTGAACTCTTATACACTCAGATAATGCAAGAGATGTATGATTTATATATAATCAGTCACTTAGATCATGAACAATTATATTGAATAATCTCTCAAGAGTGTCACTAATCTGAGATATTAAACAGTATCAGATATTTCATTTGAAACTGCAATTATTATTCTTTCATTATCTTATAAAATAACTATAGAAAAGATCTACTGAAATCACTTAATATCTCTGATAGAATCTGATGAGATGTGATAATTAACTTTACTATTGATCTCTCTGAGAGTAAAGAGTTATAGAAACATTCTGATCATCATGAACTGATTAAAGCAAGAGTGTAATATTGAAATCTTGTAATAAGATGAATACTAAACAAGTTACTGAAGCTTTTCTACAGAGTCTGTTCTATCAGATGTATAAATTACTGAGATTCATAGTATCAGATCAGAGCTGTCAATTTATAAGCACTCTCTGAACAAGAATCTGTCAAGTTCTCAAGATTACACACTGTCTGTCAACTGTCTATCATCTCAAGACTGATGATGTGTCAGAACAGATAATTCAGACTGTAAAGAATTATCTTCACAAGTTCTGTAATTACTTATAAGATAATTGATATAATCTGCTTCTACATGCAGAGATCACTATCAATAAATAAGATGCTATTTTAACAGATATAAGCTCATTCTTTCTTATACACAGTTATTACATGAAAGTGTTAAATCTTCTAGAGATTACACAGTTCACACTGAATCTCTGCAGTCTGATTCAGATCACTGATAATATAGTAATAAAGCTCTGAGATACTCATAACTGAGCAGAGATCTTAATAACAACTGTAAAACAAGACTAAGAGAATCAAATCATATTCACTAAGACTCTGTCAAATAATATAAGATAGAAGACTTGATGTGATTAAATCTTAAGAATATACAGATCATACATTCATCTTGTACACTGAATTATCACTATATTAAGTATAAAGTGATAGAAGTTCTAGATAGTCATAACTATTATCTTAACACATTATCAGAGATTTATAATGT